GAAATCGTTCTATATGCGAGTTCGTACATGTATGCGAGTGTACGTGCACGCGCGTCCATCTACTTCCGTATCCGTACGGTAGCACGTGTGATTCTCGCGCAGTACGAAGCAGAAGTTGTTTACTGCCTTCTGCGAACTTTTAAAGTAACGTAATCCAAGTGCGCGTTATACGGCATCGATCGATTCAATCGCAGAGTCGATGTGACATTTATTAATCTTATGAGATATCGATTTTGCGTGTTAGAATGTATTTGACACTGGTAGAGAAATTGCGAGGTGTGCGTGGCGCAATATTTGAAATGAGAACGTAAAATGAATATCTTTATAAAATTTCCATGGAGAAAGAAGATCGAACATTTTTCTATAAAATATATTGGTCTCAATAAACTCAGCAATAAACTTATTTTTCCATTAATGGACATAGAATAATGGAAAGTGTCATCGTTTTCATGTTTCATATCTTTTTGCATATTTTTTAATTATTGTGTGTAAAATATCTATACATTACTATTATTAATCGAGATAATTTATACCCATCAGCTCGAGAATATGTTTATGAAAATACATTGCAGACAATTTAGGTTGAGAACCACGACGTGTGTGTAATATGAAGATAAGATGTCCCCCATGTTCCCATGTGCCAGGCTTCTCGATCGGGGATTATGTTGCCATCTACGTTGACCCACCCCTTCGAACGAAAACATCCCGCCGTAGTGCGCCGACCAGTCCAACCCCATTACCTTTCGCACTCTTACGTTCGTCATTTCTCGTGAATCTTCGTTTCTTATTCGTCGTAAACTCATTCGAGGGAAATGGTCAAACATTCGTTTCTACTTCTCAAAATCATTTGTATTTTTCGCCAAATTACCGAGATTACGTTACGCAATTTCAAACATGATGCTTAGTCTCTTTTTGCATATCTCCCGAAATTACTTGTATCCCCTGACGAATTATGGCGCCCCTTGGAGAACAGGATTATCGAATTTATATATTTATGTAATTTCGAGGGAATGGTGCACGAGATGGTACACCCATGATTTTTTTAACGCAGCTCGTTTTACGTTCTAACGGTGTACTTACGATCACGCGCCCTGTCACCCATGTTATTTTACAGGGGTAGCTAAAGTACATTTTTATGAATCTATCAGGAGATATACTTTGCAGTTGGTGCGTTAAACTTCGCGGGATGTTTTTCGATAATCTTTTTGTAGCCATGTCCGATAGATCTCAAAATACCTATGTTTTGTTGTTTTGACAACGGGTTTATATTTTATTAACATTTCATAACAACAATAATATTCTGCTTAGACAATTCAGAGTATTTTTAGAAAAATCGTAGATATACTTCTAATTTAGTTTCAGTGAAAAAATAGCATTATTATTTACAGAGTTCAAAGAAAGTTAAAGTTACACAAAGGATATTTTTTTTCCTAAATATAAAAGATCGGATATATTTGCTACATATTATTAAGTTATACTATACATATACGGTGGCTGCCACAAATTTTCGACCAACATATAATTTTTGTGTATCAATCTGTTTTTAGTTTATATTATACGTTAATGAAATTTTCGTTATAATTTACGATACAAGAACACGACACTTTAAATATTTTCTATACAATATTATAGTTAATACGAGTATATTAATTATTAAAGTATATTAACTAATACATGCACATATATATACACATGTTTGTACACTAGATCTTTATTTGTAGAGATTATTTAGTCGAGTGATACAATAAAATTCCTTGTGGAAACTTTTGGCAGCCATTATGCGTATAATAAAAAATATCGCAGCCATACTTAAAATGATTATGACACTATAGTGCCCTGTTCGTTTTCACGAAATATTTCCTCGATTTTCTAGAGAAACACTCTTATTCCTTTTCATCTCTGACATAAGAAATCGTCAGCATTCCGAATGGTAAGTCCGGTGTCAGCCTAATGTATGTCCTGCATGGCGAGGGTGTGCTTGATTCATTTCACCCTCGGGGTCCGCACCGGCGCGGCGCGGCGCGCAATTCGCCACGCATTTCAGGAGCCTTCCCGCTCAACTCGTGCACGCGAATCAAAAATCCACCCTGCAAGACTTTACACGGGCGTCATAAGCTGACGCACTTAATTTAAAGATCGTCCAGCGTCGAAAAGTCTCGGGAACCGAGGGTCGTTCCCCTCATTTCTCTCTCACTCTGTCTCTTTTATTCTCTCGCTTCCTCTTCTTTTTTTCCACAGTTCATGCAACTTCGTGGGGGAGGCTCTACAATCCGAGCATTCCGCTTTACAGTTCATTTCACTTGCGGCGATGCTTTTTTTCCTCTTCATCAAATTATTTTGAACTCATCGACGGAAATGTTCTTCGATTGCGCTCGATGTTTTCGAGACGCCGCGCCGCGCCGTCCCTTCACACAATTTCGATTGCATTAGTGTCACTCAATTATTTTTTCCAATTTAAGTATGTATCGATCGGTACTCACTGTTACTAATACCATTCAATATTTTCAATTGTTATTTATTTATTTTTATCTATACACATTGTTTGCGTTCAGCAGACTCAACCGTTGTGGAGCAGATATCCGTGAGCGCTCACTGTTATTGGTATATTCTTTTAGATCAGCCAATAGCAACGAGCGCTCACAGATCCGCTCCGCAACAGTTGAGTCTGCTGAACGCAAACCATTGTCAAAATAGATTGTTGATTACTTTGCCTATGTTTTGTGTAGATTATTAATGGAACACTCACCTAACCAGAAGCACAATCATGAAAACACAATAAATGAAAAGCATATTCGTTCATGCAATAAATTTAAACGACTGTCACTATAACAAAATTAGGTAATTGAATAAATAAAAAAATTATAAATCAAATGTGATAATTTCGTTAAACACGATTTTCAACACTTAATTAATATAAATGTTTTATTAATTTATCAATTTCGCGACATTTTACGGTTCCAATCGACTTGGTCATCATTGACATAAGATTTGAGATGCCACCACGACAGGGTGAGGAAGAGAAAGAGAGAGGGTCGCAGCTTCGTAGGCATGTGGCAAATTGCCGAGATACCCGCTAGAAGGAAACCGTTCACGGAGGTGGAAGCGTCTCCGTGAAGGACGAAGTGGACCAACAGGAAGGGCGAAGCGGAGGAAAGGACGATGTACATCGTGGCGGTACGAAGGAACGATACGACGACGCGAGGCGAGATGGAAGGTAGAGGCGGCCGGTAATCTGTGATTCAAAGAGAGCGATCCATCTTACGACATGCCAGGATTCAATCGGCGGCATTTGTTTGTGAAATCAGTCCCGAAGGACTCTCCCTGTCGCTCCTCGTCTCCTCCGCGTACGGTTCTCCGATTGTCTCCGCGCTGCTGGCACGACAAAACCCGCAGGACCGAAGAACGTGAATGGAAAGCGCCGGATTTGTCTTATCGAAGACGGAGTGTAGAAAGCGATTATTCTCATTCGTGACTAGTGGAAACGGATAATACGGACAAATTTAGGTACCTTATAACTACGTCAGTTTTATACGACGTGCGACATGCTTACAATAAATATTTAACATGGTTTTATCTGAAATAAAAAATTAATAGTTTATTTCTTGAAAGCTCACTTCCAAGTAACTTTTCAAGAGTATCGCAGAAATATTGTTGAGCGTTGAAACATTTTCATCAGCTAGAGGCAAAGGAGCGCCGGCAAGGCGTGCCACGTGATCGACGCCAAGCACAGGGGGGCTAATAAGGCCATATATATTTATTCAGCTAGTAGGGGGTGGATTTTATATCCCTGGACAGGACTGGTGGACGAAGAGGCAAAGGGAAAATGTCGGGGAGAGGAGAACGGTGCGGCTTAGCATTCGGAAAATACCGAGGATAGATTCGTGTGTCTGATCCGTGCCAGATCCCATAAAATGACCCTAGCACGATCGAGTGCCCGCCATGCCGCGCCCGCACCCCTGTAGTATCGCGCGCGAGAGGCAACCCCAGAAAATTATTGCTCTCCTTATACATTCGTTCGTACTGCTGAATTGGGGCCGAATCGAATAAACTTGTGCCCTTCAGATACGGGAGAGTAACGTTAGTAACGAAGAAGAAAATGACAAGTAAAACAGAAAAACGAAGCAAGGCTAAATGAAGATACGATTAGTTTTGTGGAAACTTCGATTAAAAAGAACAAATTTACATGACTGTAAAATTTAAAAAAAATGAGAAAAATTATATTTAATGGAAAAAAATAATATTTAATCAAAACCTTCGTTAAAATTAAGTTGATTTAAAATTTGTGAAAATATCTATGAGAAAATACAAATACGTATATATATAGATGACATGAGCGAATAGCATCGTTAAAACAGCCATCGTAAATATCAAGTGCCGCGTATCTGAAAAACTGCGAAATCTTATCAGTTCAGTTGCGATTGGGGAAAGATAACGTACGAAGAGCAATATGTTACATATCTTGGAGCGTGCAGGTTGGTCTCGCAGCACGCGATCGCTGAATTATGAATACTGCGCATTAACCACAATTACCAGAAGAATAGTAACGGAATAACTTAATAAGCGGAATCGTTCGGGTATATATGCAACAGTGTTAACAGTGTTGCGCCAGGGTACATTACGCCAGGCCCTCGAGCTCTGGCTTTCCAATATATTAGCAATTATTATAATATATTATACGCTCACGCGCACGCTTTTATAATAATTGCCACGGTTAAATCTAACGCCGCGCTACTATTGTTTGCATCTCAGATGGTTGCAATAAATCTGTTGAGCAATAAAGTTTGCCGTGAGTATCAGAGCGTTACTGGTTGATAACATGCTCCGATAATGGAAAGAACATATGTATATATTTTATATTTGCACATACATGTTTTTATATATACACGATAATGGAAATGAAGAAACTGGAAGAAATCTCCTTTTACGGTTATGCTTAATAAATTATTTTGATATTCTATGTGCATATTAAATTTATGTGTAATTTATCACGTTCTGTCAGAATAGAAAGCGATATCTCTCACTATCTAAATCATATTATTATTATTTTGTTAAGATAATTCTGCACCAATAGTATTAAAGAAATGAATTTTATTAGTATTTCGCATTTTTATATATATTTGCAAGTAAGCAATCGTTGTAACGCAATGCTCGCATGGATATTAGCTTCCTACATTACTTTTTCTGTTCGGGCTCTTTCTGTTGGCCGTAGTGATAATCGAGGAATCTGTAACCTTGCGTCATTTGGGCTCCGGCATTTGTGATATGGCATGCGAACAGCAACAAATTTCGCGGTTGTACTTTCCAAGCAAACCGCATGAATACCAGAGAATACAGAGTCAAGGCTAACGAATCAGAAAAAAAATTAAATCGCACAGAAGAAAATAAACGCGTAATCAATGCAAATTAATATAGTAAATTTACTGCCTTACACGATCATCTTATTACTATTTTATTATTACTTCATCATTATTAAGAAATAACTTTACAGCGGCTTCTTCGTTACATGAATATGAAATTTTCTGAGATATATTTTCGAGATTCAGAGGAAACCATTTGAAGTGGCCGCGTTTAACAGATTAAACGTAATTAAACTTGTAACATTTTACTGTAACATTTTACTTGCAGACTGGTTTTAGGCCGGTATGTACCCCCAGACATTCGCAACGTGCCGCTCATTAAGAAATAAATGGTTATTTGCTGCGCTCGAGCAGCAATTATTTTATAGGTCCCTCTCGAGCCACGTTTCCCTCCCTCCCTCTATTAGTCGCGCATCAACTCGCTCTGTCGCGATTATTAAGAGACGATGAATGAATTCTTCGAAGGGTCTACAGGAGTAAAGCTATATCGAACTCACCTAAAGTCATTTTGCCGCTAATGATTTTTGGATGCTTTCGCGTGTCAGATATGGCCGCTATAGGTATCATCCAGTTGAATATCGGGCCCCAGAAGTGCGTGCTTAAAAAGTAGTTTATTTTCCATAAATTGCGCTTTTAAGCAAGTGCTAAAATACGGAGTACAATAATTTCAAAAAAGGAAGAAATGTGTCATCATCAAAATGATTTATTTAACATTGGAAATTGGAGAATTACAAAAAGATACAATAGCACATTGGAAAAAGTCTGGTTGCATTAATTGGAATTCTAGATTCAATCTCGAAGATATAAATCAGACACTTATAGATAAATTTATCAAACATTTTAGCCGAGATAAGGAGAAAATAAAATCAATTACGATAATTAAAACTCTGGTATGACTAGAATGCATTTTGTTCGTATCTCTTATTAGTACAACCAGAACATTTTGCCTTTTTATTGAGAAAATATTAATTTTAATTTATTTTATATGTATATGTACAATATTTTTAAGTCAAAATTTAACTCGTTAAGTGAACATTACCTTAAGAAATAATCTCTGGTTTCTTTAGTTAACAGAGATTTCGACAGTCGTTTAGACATGATGAAAGAAGTCGGAATACGATATCAACAAAATTTTTAATTACATTCGCCACGAGATCGTAAGGTGCAGCAAATCGGTTATATATTTGTATGTAACCTAAGCGATTCAGAAACTGACAGTTCCAACTGACGAACGTCGAGATCAAGCAACGATAAAGCTGATATCAAGGATTTAAAGTTTATTTCCGTTACCGTGACTCGCTACACAATTTATCACAGGTACGTAATTCCGCTTATCATCTCGAGAATTTCTGATGGACGTAGATTTTGCACCGTAATTTTCTCTTTGAATGTGAGTTAATGCGATTGCATTGCCACACCGCTTAGATTTCTTTCAGCAATTAAAATTTAAAATGTAGACACTTTTACGTCACTATGACGAACGCTGATGATAAGCGAAATGACGTTATCACGACAACAACAAGAAAAGATTATAAATCATTTTACGGAACGAAGTAATGCGCTTTATACTTTAGTTTGAAGTGGCTTTTTTAACTATTGCGCGTCTTTTCATGACAGTTGCCACGCTACGTGTGATCTTTACAGCTGGATCTATATGACTATTGAACGTTAACTATCGTCTGAATCGTCAGAAAACCGGATTTTCAAGTTGGGATTTCTCGCGTTGCTGTTTACACTGTTTACGAGCCTCACTAGATATAGTTTCGTAATTTCATGATATAGCCAGTGATCCGTGTATCTCAAGGTCAGCTACTTATCGCTACATACTATTATACTTATCTATAAAGTAAGGAGCATTATCATGTGCATAATAAATATTATATTTAATATTTATCACGCTGAAATATTTAAATGTATGCACAAATCTTACACTGATCTATGCATAATACGTTTGAATATTTGATAATTCACTTGATAATCTATTTGTTAATCCGCGTATATATATTGATAAAAACACATTATAAATTGCCAATATTTAAAATCCATATATTTTAAATAATTTAATATATAATTAATAATAAATTCATTATAAAATGTCTTTAAAGAAATTATTATGTTCTCAACAGAGATATATAATAATTTTTTAATGCAGTATATATTTATTATTAATGAGTAGTATATTTTTCACATACTGCGCAGCTACTTTTTCTCATCGATCGATTACTAGACAAATTGCACCAATCTATCTTTTCTCACGACCCTTGACTAATCGTTGATCGATTTGCATAATAGTTTACACGCATATTTATCATGATTCTAGTGCATTTTTTTTATATCAACTTTTGAAAGGAGCCACCCCCTCTATCATAAATGCACAGGTTATTATTTCGCGCGTATAATATTGATGGCGCTATGAATGTTGCATGGAGGGGTACGCGGCGTTCTGAACGTGGCTCAACGGGGGTGGAAACCAGCTCGCGTATGGGGGTTGTAACGGGAGATGCTCTGGGACGCATGCGCTGTTATAGGAATAGTATTATTGATCTAAGAAGGGGATGGACTATGGGACCCTCGAAGACCAGCAGTGTGTCGAGGTGATCCTGGCACCCTCGGCCTGACGATATTTCAAGTTCGATAAGCGATCATGATCGCTTTTGTTTCGGAGTAATTCTTTTCTTTGCAATATTAATAGACTGCACAATTTTATATAAATTTAGAAATCAATGCCCTTGTTTAAGTATTAGATAAGCGTTATGTTACAATGACATATGTTTAAACTTAGAGGTTACTTTTTTAAATATGATTATAATTATTTTATTTTAATTATTGCTATAAAGTTCAAAAATATTTATATTAATTAGTTAACTTACATATAACTTATTCAACATGTAATATAATTTTATTTTGTAATTATATATAATAATATTTTAATTCTGTAAGTCTCATATTAAATTCTTACGTTAATACGCACAAATTATATTTTTTTATAATTAAACTTGAAGATTAGAAAAATTCTTTTTATTTTATCGTTGTATCCAATTTTCAATCTCGATTATGTATCGAGGGCCCGATATATACATACCTAAAAGCGACTGTTTCCTGCATATGCATTCCCGTATGTAGCATTCGCACGAGTGTCTCGCTCCCTTTTCGAAAGCAAATCCTTATCCCGCGGTCCCTAGGTCCCCCAGGCCACCATCCAAGGCACTCAAGAGTATTGCCGCTATTTTCCGTCTCGCGTATTCCGCTGTGCTGCATTTTGCGATCCTCCCGGAATGTCATTTACACGCGACGTTCCCTTTGACGTGTATCAATATTTATTCTAGTTTCCCAGCCGTTCTCCGAGAATTTTCCGAGGTCGTTACATTTATAACGTTTGACTCCTCGTATTTCAAGACATAAAGGTATACACACACTTATACATATATAGATTTAAGTATAATATTATCCAAAACGCAAGCAGTAATGGAAGAAAATGTTACTTATTTCAATGTGCAATAAATATTCAGAAAATTATGTCAACTAGTTTATAAAAAAATTGTATTAAATTAAATTAGTACGATACATTTTCTTATGTTTTCTTTTTTTTAATTATACAAATATAGGAAAATTTCATTCATTTAAATAAAAAGCATGAGTTGTATGTGTTAACGTAAGAATATTTACATGAAATTTATAAAGTTGAAAAAACATAAATGTGAAACAAAAAATGTTAATAATTGTTTACAAGAATTATATTTTAAATTATGTACTATATTATATGACTCATATGGATCGCATATGGACGAATCCCATTGGAGGAACACAATCATTTGAAGCTAGATGAATTCATTAATTATACACGTCGAAACGATGAAGAGGCTTCACTTTGTCGAAATGAAGTTTCGTCCTCTCGCATTGATCTTTACGAACTACAAAGCAACAACGCACGGTACATTCGCACGTATTTGATTTGTATTCGACTGGAGGAAATGGCACGGCCTTTTGCCCCTGATGTCTCTTGCTGACGCGTTCCGAAAAACCTTTTCTACTTTTCCGTCGTCGTTCCTGTTCGGTGGATCCCCTCGGCCCTCGGCCGACGCTGATCTGAATGCGTCCTACGTATTTGCCAACACCCCCGCTACGCTCTTTTCAGAGAGAACTGTCGACAAGCACTCGCCGCCCCGCGCAGGACACGACTTTCATCCCTCTGCGAATAAAAAGTCGCGCGTTCATGTAAGCCCGACTCGTATTCGACGACGGAACCACCGTCGTCAAATCATCGCACATGAAAGCAACATGATTGTAAATTTAGAGCATTTTCTACCTTCAGCTTGATTTTTATGTTGATTGTTTTTAAATAGAAATTAGATAGAAGAGTAAGAGAGTAATAAATTGAACTCTACAAAAATTTATTATTTTTCTGGAATGTAGAACGTATATGTCCCATCTATTGCGGACATCCATTATTTGCAACGTAAGGTTGAATCAAAAATATGTTTAGACAAGTCTATTTAGAAAATTACCTTCATATAAAAAGTTGATTTTTTTCAATTTATTCGTTAATTTATTTGTATTACCATATTATTATTATTACAATTACACTGAAAAGAAAAGATTGGCTAAATATGGTATAGCATTTTTAATTTCCTGCGGCAGCCAAATAAAAATGCTATGCCATATTTTACTATCTACATAAATTACTGCAGCAGTTAATCTTTTCTTTTAGTGTGTATTAAATGTTATTATATAATATACTTTTGTATATATTTTTATATTATATAATTCGTCATAGATAATTACTGCTCAGTTGTCCTGATTCTTACAATTCCATCATGCTAATTGCACATCACAATTAATGCATTCCTCTTTTTAGTTGCGTTTTGTTAAAATTTTACTAGCGACTAATCATTACCGATTAAACTTAAACAAGAACATCTTTTTCCTCGGTATATCTGGTCCCTTTGTCCGCGTATCCCGCTCTGACAATGCTTTTAATTACTAGCCGCGGTTCGATGTATAAATCGAATTATAGGCTGTGGTCCCCATCGTATGAAACAGGTACTACTTCGAGATAATTAGTGCACAATTAAAGAAGGAATAATTGCCAGATTCGACTCAACCAGGAAGTCTGTTACAGAATGTTACAATTTATATTTCATTGTTCTTACATTATATACCATTACGCGAGCAAACTAAGAACTTATAAAATTACAAACGTTTAATTATATACTGGCACTTCCGCCACTCTTCTCTCTCTCTCTCTCTTTCTCTCTCTCTGTCTCTATAGCTTCTCTCTTTTTCTCTTACATATACATACCTTTTCGTATCTATTTCTATTCAAAAACTTTATGTGTGTCTGAATCTTTTGACTTGGAGTTTATATCAAAATTACGCGCGGCTTAATATTTCATACTTTTTAATTACGTAATCGCGCTATCCGATTAGAGTGTTGGTTTCTGTGCTTTTCGCGGGGAATAAAGGAATCTGACATTCTTGCAGGCGTTCTCTTCGTTACACTCGTACATCAACGTCACTTAAAGTCAGGAAAATTTCTCTTAACAATTTTTCTCGCCGCGGGCCCAAGCGCAAAAGAAATTGTCTGCAGGTCTGCAGATATGTATCTTTCGGCGCAATAGTCGGATAAAATATGTCATATGACTTATATATATGGCACATATAAGCCAATGTGTTGTTACTGATATTAATTTGAGAAGACTGTTTAAATATTTTAAATCAAAATTAAATAACAATGTTTGAATTTATAATTTTAAATCATTTACGCGTGTTTATTTTTACTTAGTATTTTATATCAATAATATTAATAATTAAACAATTAACCTTCCATATTCTGTAATAGCAACTCTTACGTTTGCGACGTCATCTTTTTTGAGGTAGCTTGTAAATAATTCCACATTTTAGAATATTCTTTCTTTTAATTAAATGACAATTTGATTCATAGATGAGATACGTACTAATTTCTGCTTTGAGTGTTTTGTCGTAAACTATTATACATATTTGTGTGTTATATAATTGTGAAAAATTTACATAATCAGAAATGTTAATTTTTCAGTAAAAATCTGAAATCGCTACAATATTCTGAACATAAGCAGTTCGCAAAGTTCGCAAGTGCAGATAAAGCAATACGTTATGGCCGAGGTATTGATTTTCCGCATTTGTCAGAACGCCGATGTAGCGCGTACAGCAGAGCTGTCACATTCGATTCGTGACCATTGAACGTACCCTCC